GGTGTGACTGCCACCCACAGGATGGGTATGGTGTGACTGCTGCCCAGAGGATGGGTATGGTGTGACTGCTGCCCACAGGATGGGTATGGTGTGACTGCCACCCACAGGATGGGTATGGTGTGACTGCCACCAACAGGATGGGTATGGTGTGACTGCCACCCACAGGATGGGTATGGTGTGACTGCCACCCACAGGATGGGTATGGTATGACTGCCACCCACAGGATGGGTATGGTGTGACTGCCACCACAGGATGGGTATGGTGGACTGCACCCACAGGATGGGTATGATGTGACTGCCACCCACAGGATGGGGTATGGTGTGTGACTGCCACCCACAGGATGGGTATGGTGTGACTGCCACCCACAGGATGGGTATGGTGTGACTGCCACCCACAGGATGGGTATGGGGTGTGACTGCCACCCACAGGATGGGTATGGTGTGACTGCCACCCACAGGATGGGTATGGTGTGACTGCCACCCACAGGATGGGTATGGTGTGACTGCCACCCACAGGATGGGTATGGTGTGACTGCCACCCACAGGATGGGTATGGTGTGACTGCCACCCACAGGATGGGTATGGTGTGACTGCCACCCACAGGATGGGTATGGTGTGACTGCCGCCCACAGGATGGGTATGGTGTGACTGCCACCCACAGGATGGGTATGGTGTGACTGCTGCCCACAGGATGGGTATTGTGTGACTGCTGCCCACAGGATGGGTATTGTGTGACTGCTGCCCACAGGATGGGTATGGTGTGACTGCTGCCCACAGGATGGGTATTGTGTGACTGCTGCCCACAGGATGGGTATGGTGTGATTGCTGCCCACAGGATGGGTATGGTGTGACTGCTGCCTACAGGATGGGTATGGTGTGACTGCTTCCCCCAGGATGGGTATGGTGTGACTGCTGCCCCCAGGATGGGTATGGTGTGACTGCCGCCCACAGGATGGGTATGGTGTGACTGCCGCCCACAGGATGGGTATGGTGTGACTGCTGCCCACAGGATGGGTATGGTGTGACTGCTGCCCACAGGATGGGTATTGTGTGACTGCTGCCCACAGGATGGGTATGGTGTGATTGCTGCCCACAGGATGGGTATTGTGTGACTGCTGCCCACAGGATGGGTATGGTGTGACTGCTTCCCCCAGGATGGGTATGGTGTGACTGCTTCCCCCAGGATGGGTATGGTGTGACTGCTGCCCCCAGGATGGGTATGGTGTGACTGCTGCCCACAGGATGGGTATGGTGTGACTGCCGCCCACAGGATGGGTATGGTGTGACTGCTGCCCACAGGATGGGTATGGTGTGACTGCTGCCCACAGGATGGGTATGGTGTGACTGCCACCGACAGGGTAGGTATGGTGTGACTGCCAACCACAGGGTGGGTATGGTGTGACTGCCAACCACAGGGTGGGTATGGTGTGACTGCCGCCCACAGGATGGGTATGGTGTGACTGCCAACCACAGGGTGGGTATGGTGTGACTGCCAACCACAGGGTGGGTATGGTGTGACTGCCAACCACAGGGTGGGTATGGTGTGACTGCCACCAACAGGGTGGGTATTGTGTGACTGCCAACCACAGGGTGGGTATGGTGTGACTGCCAACCACAGGGTGGGTATCGTGTGACTGCCACCAACAGGGTGGGTATGGTGTGACTGCCAACCACAGGGTGGGTATGGTGTGACTGCCAACCACAGGGTGGGTATGGTGTGACTGCCACCAACAGGGTGGGTATGGTGTGACTGCCACCAACAGGGTGGGTATGGTGTGACTGCCAACCACAGGGTGGGTATGGTGTGACTGCCAACCACAGGGTGGGTATGGTGTGTGACTGCCAACCACAGGGTGGGTTATGTGTGACTGCCACCAACGGGTGGGTATGGTGTGACTGCCAACCACAGGGTGGGTATGGTGTGACTGCCACCAACAGGGTGGGTATGGTGTGACTGCCACCAACAGGGTGGGTATGGTGTGACTGCCAACCACAGGGTGGGTATGGTGTGACTGCCAACCACAGGGTGGGTATGGTGTGACTGCCACCAACAGGGTGGGTATGGTGTGACTGCCACCAACAGGGTGGGTATGGCGTGACTGCCACCAACAGGGTGGGTATCGTGTGACTGCCACCAACAGGGTGGGTATCGTGTGACTGCCACCAACAGGGTGGGTATGGTGTGACTGCCAACCACAGGGTGGGTATGGTGTGACTGCCACCAACAGGGTGGGTATGGTGTGACTGCCACCAACAGGGTGGGTATGGCGTGACTGCTGCCCACAGGATGGGTATTGTGTGACTGCTGCCCACAGGATGGGTATGGTGTGATTGCTGCCCACAGGATGGGTATTGTGTGACTGCTGCCCACAGGATGGGTATGGTGTGACTGCTTCCCCCAGGATGGGTATGGTGTGACTGCTTCCCCCAGGATGGGTATGGTGTGACTGCTGCCCCCAGGATGGGTATGGTGTGACTGCTGCCCACAGGATGGGTATGGTGTGACTGCCGCCCACAGGATGGGTATGGTGTGACTGCTGCCACAGGATGGGTTATGGTGTGACTGCTGCCCACAGGATGGGTATGGGTGTGACTGCCACCGACAGGGTAGGTATGGTGTGACTGCCCCAACCACGGGTGGGTATGTGTGACTGCCAACCACAGGGTGGGTATGGTGTGACTGCCACCAACAGGGTGGGTATGGTGTGACTGCCAACCACAGGGTGGGTATGGTGTGACTGCCACCAACAGGGTGGGTATCGTGTGACTGCCACCAACAGGGTGGGTATCGTGTGACTGCCACCAACAGGGTGGGTATGGTGTGACTGCCAACCACAGTGTGGGTATGGGGTACATAAGATAAGATAAGATAAGATTTCGTTGGGATTTTTAACCCCTGAGGGTTAGCCACCCAGGATAACCCAAGAAAGTCAGTGCGTCATCGAGGACTGTCTAACTTATTTCCATTGTGGTCCTTAATCTTGTCCCCCAGGATGCCACCCACACCAGTCGACTAACACCCAGGTACCTATTTGCTGCTAGGTGAACAGGACAACAGGTGTAAGGAAACGTGTCGCAATGTTTCCACCCGCCGGGAATCGAACCCGGGCCCTCCGTGTGTGAAGCGGGAGCTTTAGCCACCAGACCACCATAAGGATGTGAAGCTAATTTTGCCCGTAAGAATTAATTTTGCTTGGTTTTTCCCGTGGCCTCCAATACCAAACTGGTTGAGTACATTGGTTAGCGACTGTTGCTTGTGTTCCTGCACCTCTAGTCATGGCCTGGTCGACCTTATTAAACACTTACAACTATATACGGACACAAGTATGTGGCCAGGGAAGGTTATGTAAGTAAGTGTTGTTATCCGCCACTCAAAATATTTACCCGCCTCGTACTTAACGTATTCTTACTGATAGTTAACATGTTAATTCCAGCTTTTTCGTGTAGCCGATTGAGTGTTAGTCTGATAAACCAACATTATCACTTTACACAAGTATGCATTTTGTAGTCAATATATATGAAGTGAATAATATGCCTTTCACCCTGCATTCAAATGTCACCCATTTCTGTATAAATATTGTATAATAATAATAATAATACTTGCGCTTGATACAATGTTTGTACATAGGTGACATTTCGTTGTACAAGTAGAACCTCATAATTATGCGGAGCATTTTTCGGCTGGTGTACTCGCCTAATTGTCGTGACAGGGGTCGAGACTCAGCTCCTGGCCCCGCCTCTTCACCGACCGCTACTAGCTTCTCTCCCCCCCCTGCTCCATGAACTTTATCATACCTCGTCTTAAAACTATGTATAGTTCCTGCCTCCACTACATCGTGTGTTGAAATAAGCTTGTATTTGTATCTCCATTAAAGTATTTTTGGGTGTACCTGAAGTTTACCTGGAGAGAGTTCCGGGGGTCAACGCCCCCGCGGCCCGGTCTGTGACCAGGCCTCCTGGTGGATCAGAGCCTGATCAACCAGGCTGTTACTGCTGGCTGCACGCAAACCAACGTACGAGCCACAGCCCGGCTGGTCAGGAACCGACTTTAGGTGCTTGTCCAGTGCCAGCTTGAAGACTGCCAGGGGTCTGTTGGTAATCCCCCTTATGTATGCTGGGAGGCAGTTGAACAGTCTCGGGCCCCTGACACTTATTGTATGGTCTCTTAACGTGCTAGTGACACCCCTGCTTTTCATTGGGGGGATGGTGCATCGTCTGCCAAGTCTTTTGCTTTCGTAGTGAGTGATTTTCGTGTGCAAGTTCGGTACTAGTCCCTCTAGGATTTTCCAGGTGTATATAATCATGTATCTCTCCCGCCTGCGTTCCAGGGAGTACAGGTTCAGGAACCTCAAGCGCTCCCAGTAATTGAGGTGTTTTATCTCCGTTATGCGCGCCGTGAAGGTTCTCTGTACATTTTCTAGGTCAGCAATTTCACCTGCCTTGAAAGGTGCTGTTAGTGTGCAGCAATATTCCAGCCTAGATAGAACAAGTGACCTGAAGAGTGTCATCACGGGCTTGGCCTCCCTAGTTTTGAAGGTTCTCATTATCCAACCTGTCATTTTTCTAGCAGATGCGATTGATACAATGTTATGGTCCTTGAAGGTGAGATCCTCCGACATGATCACTCCCAGGTCTTTGACGTTGGTGTTTCGCTCTATTTTGTGGCCAGAATTTGTTTTGTACTCTGAAGATTTAATTTCCTCGTATTTACCATATCTGAGTAATTGAAATTTCTCATCGTTGTACGTGTGTACCTTGATCGCATGCATCTTTCCCAGGTGCCAGATCAACCAGGCTGTGATGGATATGTGGGACAGGGGGCCTCCAGGAGCAACAGCCTGGTTGACCAGGCAAGCACCAGACGAGCCTGGCCCATGGCCGGGCTCCGAGAGTAGTGAGACTCGAAAGGCGATAAACGACTTTAAGATATTTATGACTGTAGCAGATATCTCATCCTAGACATGCGGACTACAAAACAAAATTCGGGGCATACAAACTGACCTTGGGGTGGATCTTGACCCTGAGTGAGGCACCAGGAAGTCTGGAGGGAAGGAGATGGTTGTCCCTAAGGGTGTAGGAGGCGTGGGCACCGTCCGCCAGATGGTAGAGTACCAGCTTTTTAAGAGCTACATGGTCCTGTAACGTCGTCCTCTTCAGTCCTGCGCACACCATAACAGTTCTCAGATAAAAAGATGATTGTATCTCAGTAAGATACTCATAAATATTTCCTATAAGAGGGACCCCATCCGAGACTGTGGGTCCCCTCAGTTGGCACTACAAGAATCATCCCCAATCTACATATATTTGTTTTCGTTATATATTGTATTATATACAAGGAAGTAAGTAAATTGACTACTGACTTCTGAGGGCCTTGTTGGAGGGAGCGAAGACTGTGTATGGGCCGTAGGAGACAAGGCGGTGGAAGAGGCCAACTCGACGTACTAGTCTGATGTAGGTGGTAGCTCCTGCCCTCCGAGTGACCTGGGCCAGGCTCAGTGCTGTAGACCACATCAGATTGCTCAAACATCTGACACCACACTCGCTGACAACCAGGCTAGTACTAGAACTGTGAGACGCACTGTGAAGAGAGGCTGATAAAACTAAACCTGCCCACTCTGGCTGAGAGAAGGACAAGGTGGGACACGATTACGACATACAAAATTTTAGCATTCATCAATAGATAGGGACAGACTGAGTTAAAACAAACTGAGTTAGTGCAATTACAAGTGAGAGTCTTGTTCTATTTTAAATTTGTATTTTTATATTACTAGTTTATACCTAGTTGTACTTTAGTTCATTCCAGCACAACACATAGACAACATCAACTTCATTATGTGTAGTAGTGACTATACTCTATATGACCAAAATACTCTAGCTATATACTTATCCAAACTTCCCACCACTACAGATATCAGTACTAGAACTCAACACATAACTCAGGATATAAATAACCATAATTTAAACCTAGAAGATGATTGATCACGTTGACCCTGATCTAAACCTCCACAATCTGACACCCAATCAAAACCTATTGGAAAGTAACTGCCTTTATTACACAGCATCACAAGCCAGCACTATCCTAAACAATGCTAAAAGTCTATCAGTACTTAACTACAACATCAGGTCCTTAAGCAAACACTATGATGACCTCCTGGCACTCCTTGAATCACTAAAGACCCCCTTCTCCTGCATTATTCTTACTGAGACCTGGCTTAAGCAGGACACAATAGATATTTACCCTCTACCAGGATACACAGCAATTCACAACTGCAGACCAAACCAAGTTGGGGGTGGTATTGCAATCTATTACTCTAACCAATTATCTTGCATTAACACCACTTGCTTTAGTAATGAATATGGGGAATACATTTTTGCTAATTTTACTGTAAAAAACCTTAAGACACCTATAACAATCGGTGCCATTTACCGGATACCTCGCACAAACATCCAAATTTCAGTGAGAAATTAGTCACTAATAACAAACAGACAAATGAATAAGCACCACCTTCTCTTAGCTGGAGACTTCAACATCAACCTTGGCTTACTAGATGATCAGCCTGTAACTGATTTCATCAACAATATGAACAACACACTTCTCATACCAACAATAACTAAACCAACCAGGCTCACTGAGACAAGTGCAACCATAATAGACCACATATGGACCAATATACTAGCCCCCCTTAAATCAGGGATAATCACAGATAGCACTACAGACCACTACCCTACCTTCCTCCTGACAAACATTAGTAAACCACCACTTGAATACAACAAAGTCTCATTTAGACTCCATGACGGGGCCTCGATAAGGAAGTTCACAGCTGACCTAGAGATTGTTGACTGGCCTACAGAATTCTCCAAGGCCAATGGTATTGATGACTGGACAGACATTTTTCTTAAATTACTTAGACTATACAACAAACATTGTCCTATAAAAACAAAACAGATCACAAACAAACGGCTTGGTTGCCCATGGCTAACCAGCACCATTCTGAAATCCATTGACAAGAAACACCAATATGAAAAGCAATACAGACAGGGCTTAATACACAAAGATATTCTTAAACACTATTCATCAGTTCTCGCCAAAGTAATAAAGAAAGCCAAACAACTATACTACTCCAGTAGATTCACAGACACTAGAGGAGATATAAAAAAGACCTGGAAAGACTCTCTCAGATTCTAGGGACCCACAAACTGAAAAAAAACACCACTACATCCCACTGACACAGCTAACAAGATAAACGACTTCTTCTCAACCATAGGATCTAATCTCCCCAATAAAATCCCACATACCAATGCCCATGCCGGGGACTACCTAGATGGGAATTTCCCAAATTCCTTCTATCTTGCACCAACTGAGCCCTCGGAAGTCACCGAGATTATAAAGTCACTTAAAAACAACTCGGGGAATCTGTCTAATGTCCCACCATTACTGTACAAGCGAGCGGCCCATATCCTTTCGCATGCTATTTCATTAATTTTTAACAAGTCACTAGAAACTAGCACCTTCCCGAAACTACTCAAGATGGCAAGGGTTTTTACACCAATACATAAAGGTGGTGACCCTACAGACTTAAACAACTATAGGCCAATATCAAACTTACCATTGCTATCCAAAATCTTTGAGAAACTCGTGCACAGGAGACTATATTCATTTATAACAGCACAAAACATACTCAACCCCTGCCACTTTAGATTCAGGAAAAATAAAAGCACTAATGATGCAATCTAAAAATGCTAGATCTGCTTTACACAGCATTGGAAAATAAGATATATCCACTAGGATTTTTTATTGACCTAAGAAAAGCTTTTGACACAGTAGACCACGACATCCTACTCCACAAATTGACCTTTCGGTATAAGAGGCCATGCGCTTGCATATTTCAAATCTTTCCTTACTAATAGGTATCAGTATGTCACATTAAAGACACAGCATCAACAAACACGGCCCCCTGATTTCTGGAGTTCCGCAGGGAAGTGTCCTTGGTCCCTGCTCTTCCTCATATACATCAATGATCTTCCAAAAGTATCCCAACACCTGGGAAAACCCCTTCTCTTTGCTGACGACACGAATTATGTCATTTTCTCACCCTAATCTTGCCACCCCCAACACCATTGTTAACGAGGAGCTGATCAAAATATCGACTTGGATGACAGCCAATAAACTTACACTTAACGCTGACAAAACCTACTATATTATGTTTTGGTAGCAGAGCAGGAGATGCACAAATTAACATTAAGATCGACAACACTCTAATTACCAGACATAATGAGGGCAAATTCCTAGGCCTATACCTTGACAACAACCTGAATTTCAGCACCCATATCCAAAAACATAACCAAAAAAGTATCCAAAACGGTTGGGATCCTCTTCAAGATACGATACTATGTGCCGCCAAAATGCCCTTCTCACACTATACCACTCGCTTATTTATCCATACCTCACCTATGCTATTTGTGCTTGAGGATCAACTGCAGCAACACACCTAAAGCCAATAATAACCCAACAAAAAACGCAGTAAGAATAATCACTAATCCATCCCCGGCAAACACCCCCCACTCTTCATAGATCTAAACTTACTCCCTGTTCAGTACATCCACACTTACTACTGTGCAATCTACATCTACAGGACCTTAAACTCCAATATCAACCTTGACCTAAAACGCTTTCTTGATAGTTGTGACAGAGCCACAGGCATAACCCCAGACACAAAAAATCTCTACGACATTCCCGTGTCCGGGCTAAACCTTTAAAAATTCAATGTTATGTCAAAGGCCCTAAAGTCTGGAACACCCTACCTGAGAACTCTAGAACTGCAGACACATTCATCACCTTCAAAACTACCAATAGAAAAAATCTTATTTCCCCGATACACCCATCAACTAACTACACGAATTTCCCCCCTGGTGGTTCACACTTACACTCACTCACCCATTTGACATAAACAGAAATATTAATCTCAATCTTAAAATAATGAATCCATGATACTCCAATACTGAAACTATGTACTGTGCCAAAACAAAAGCATTCACATTGCTAAACTCACAAACTAGTATTTAGTCACTTAGCCATAATACCAACTTACCTCATAATTTGTAATATTTTAAAATAAAAAAATAAACTAAGTCTGCCCGAAATGCCTAGCCATGCTAGGCGTTCTAGTGGTACACTCTGTAATCATTATTTAACTACATGTAAACCACACAACAACCAAATTCTGTAAATTCAACATTGTAATCTTTATAGAGAATAAACTTTGAATTTTAATTTTAATTTTAATTTGATGGTGCTGATCAAAGTGGTCTAAGAGGTGGGGGCAGGAGCCGAGTCTCTACTCCTCCCCCTCACACAGATACCCTCCCACAACCACACCACTACACATAATGTATACAGTATACACTTGACTACACCCAACACTGACAAACTTTCACGTCTTCCAAATTATTCACTTAAGTGTACTAAGGTCAGCTGACAGCTTATAACATTCACGACAATTACCGTATTCACGGGGCAGTGCTAAACCCGCAGGGTTCATATAGCTCCTAAGGAATGGCGGGGGATCAGGTTTGCTCCAAGGAAGAGAAGATCAGCTCCAGTTTCTTGTATCTAGAGCCTTTCACCAGATTAAATACTTGTATACTTCTCTCCTCGTCTGCGCCCACTCACCTCTACCTCTCACCCCTTCCCCACTCACCTCTACCTCTCACCCCTTCCCCACTCACCTCTACCTCTCACCCCTTCCCCATTCACCCCTGCCTTTTTTACCCCTTTCCCCACTCACCCCTGCTCCTCTTACCCCCTTCCCCACTGTCACCTTTCTCTCTTACTCCCTTTCCCCCACTCATTCCCCACTCTTCCCCTGCCCGATTCACCCCTTTTCCCTACTCTTCCCCTGCTCCAGTCATCCCCTCACCCATCCCCTGCCCCACTCACCCATGGGGGGTATGAGGACGCGGTCAACGTAGTGGAGGACGCCGTTGGATGTTAGCAGGTCAGGAGTGGTGACAGTAGAGGCGCCCACTCTGAGAGTGAGGGAGTGGTTGCAGGAAACAGTCAGGGATCGTCCTTCCATCGTGGTCACCTCTGCCTTCCTCCTCAGTGCTGTGGAGCACTGCAGCCCCTCCAGCAGGTGCTGGCGGACTAGCGCTGCTCACACCAGGGGGAGAGAACCTGGGGGTTAGTGAAGAACGGGGAAGGATCTTCTGTGAAACTAATGAATCTTAAACTTCAGGGGCCCCTAATCCCGCAGGGGCCCCTGATCCCGCAGGGACCCCAAAATCGACTTTAGTCTCTTATCTGCTTAAAAATTTTGGGATTACTGCATGAGAAATGGTTGCGAAGGGGCCCCCCATAATAGTTGAAGCTTCAGGGCCCCAAAAATATAGGTCCGCCACTGTTGCAACAGCTTCCCCACGGGGTCTACACCAGGGTCTACCTCCGGAGTCTACACTTGGGTCTACCCCGGGGTCGACTTTACTATGTTAATAAATGTTAATATCTTGCTAAATATGATATACCTCTGATCACAGAAATTTATATAGTTTGTCAGCTTCACTATGTGCCTCATATCCATGTTTTTATGTGCCTCATATCCATGTTCTTTATGTGCCTCATATCCATGTTCTTTATGTGCCTCATATCCATGTTTTTATGTGCCTCATATCCATGTTCTTTATGTGCCTCATATCCATGTTTTTATGTGCCTCATATCCATGTTCTTTATGTGCCTCATATCCATGTTTTTATGTGCCTCATATCAATTTTTTATGCGCCTCATATCCATGTTTTATGTGCCTCATATCCATGTTTTTATGTGCCTCATATCCATGTTTTTATGTGCCTCATATCAATGTTTTTGTGCCTCATATCCATGTTTTTATGTGCCTCATATCCATGTTTTTATGTGCCTCATATCCATGTTTTTGTGCCTCATATCCATGTTTTTATGTGCCTCATATCCATGTTTTTATGTGCCTCATATCCATGTTTTTGTGCCTCATATCCATTTTTTTTATGTGCCTCATATCCATGTTTTTGTGCCTCATATCCATGTTTTTATGTGCCTCATATCCATGTTTTTGTGCCTCATATCCATGTTTTTATGTGCCTCATATCCATGTTTTTATGTGCCTCATATCCATGTTTTTGTGCCTCATATCCATGTTTTTGTGCCTCATATCCATGTTTTTGTGCCTCATGTCCATACATTTATTATGGGCCTCATATTTTGTACACCTCAAGCTTTTATTATTCACCTGGTTGCAGTTCCTGACATATGACATGTAAACCTAACTGAGGTTTCTCTACTTGCCCAAACCTTGCAACGTCACACCCTTCCCACATCTCTTAAAAACCTGTCGTATACTTTATGAAACTGGAAAGTACTTGTAGTCACCTACCTTGGAGGGTCGGAAAGTACTTGTTGTAGTCACCTACCTTGGAGGGCCGGAAAGTACTTGTTGTAGTCACCTACCTTGGAGGGCTGGAAAGTACTTGTTGTAGTCACCTACCTTGGAGGGCTGGAAAGTACTTGTTGTAGTCACCTACCTTGGAGGGCTGGAAAGTACTTGTTGTAGTCACCTACCTTGGAGGGCTGGAAAAGTACTTGTTGTAGTCACCTACCTTGGAGGGCTGGAAAGTACTTGTTGTAGTCACCTACCTTGGAGGGCTGGAAAGTACTTGTTGTAGTCACCTACCTTGGAGGGCTGGAAAGCACTTGTTGTAGTCACCTACCTTGGAGGGCTGGAAAGCACTTGTTGTAGTCACCTACCTTGGAGGGCTGGAAAGTACTTGGCGTCATAAGTGATGGAGTCCAAAAAGTGTCTTGGTAGACGATTGAAAGCATCATTGGTTGGTGCCAGTACTGTGAGAGGACCAGTGTGGCGCACCAGGCTCACCAACTCTCCCTGATACCACAATAAACATCAAGAACACTGGCAGTCAGCCTACCCAAACATGATTAAAGAATAAAAGATGTATTTTAACTAGGCAAATTCAAGGGACACGCAGGCTAGACACACAGCGAGGACGGCGCCTGAGTTCCCCAGTCTCCTAATATCATGTTTATTTTTCCCCTATAATCTACCGCGTCCATAATTACTATCGTATTTCCTCTTTATCTGTTTCGTAAGGTGAAGTCCAGGATCTTTACTTAATTCACGGTGTAACTTAACGAATGTTTGATGACAGTTGTGTTGTAGAAGTCTGAGTTGAGTTCAGATCTCTACAACACAATTGTTATCAAATATTTGTTGTTATACCTTACCACCCTTTATATACAAAAAAGCGTCACAAGTACTATCACCAATCATTGCAACACTCTTTAACAAATTCATTGAATCCTCCACCTTCCCTACAGTTCTCAAAATAGCAAGGGTCACCCCGATCCATAAAGGAGGAGACCAAACAGAGTTGAATAACTATAGGCCAATATCCAATTTACACCCTCTCTCAAAAATCTTCGAAAAATTAATTCATAAACGAATCTACTCCTACCTCATCTCCCATAACATTCTCAACCCCTGCCAATTTGGATTCAGGCCTAATAAAAATACTAATGATGCTGTTATACACATGCTTGAACATATATACACTGCAATAGAGAAAAAAGAAGTCCCACTGGGGATCTTCATTGACTTACGTAAAGCTTTTGATACAGTTGACCATGACTTGCTCCACGTAAAATTGTCACACTATGGTATTAGAGGGCACTCCCTCAACTACCTCAAGTCTTACCTCAGCAACAGAAGCCAATATGTGTACGCAAATGGGGCAAGCTCTTCCGCACAACCAATTACAGTTGGTGTCCCACAGGGAAGTGTCCTTGGCCCTCTTCTCTTTCTCCTATACATAAATGACCTACCAAATGCTTCGCAATTACTCAAACCCACACTTTTTGCAGATGACACCACATACGTCTTCTCTCACCCGAGCCCAGTCACGCTAGCCAATACTGTAAACACCGAATTACAGAAAATATCTACCTGGATGAGGACTAACAAACTTACACTAAACATTGACAAAACCTACTTCATTCAGTTTGGTAGCAGAGCTACAGATGTACCTCTTAACATAACGATAAACGGATCACCTATCACAAAGCTAACAGAGGGAAAATTCTTAGGAATCCACCTCGATAATAGACTCAAATTTCATACACATATACAACAAATTTCTAAGAAAATTTCCAAGACTGTAGGCATACTATCGAAGATACGGTACTATGTTCCACAGTCAGCCCTCCTGGCCCTATATCACTCTCTTATTTACCCCTATCTCACCCATGGAATTTGTGCATGGGGCTCAACAACAACTAAACATCTCAGACCACTAATTACCCAACAAAAGGCTGCAGTTAGAATAACAAATTCTCACTACAGGCAGCACACTCCACCAATATTCAAAACACTCAACCTACTCACCATACAAAACATTCATACTTATTATTGCACTTATTACATACATAGAACACTTAACTCTGATATTAACCCTCCCCTCAAACATCTCCTTGCCAACCTCAACAGAACACATGACCATAATACAAGGCACAGATCACTCTTTGATGTTCCTCGTGTCCATCTCATGATATGCAAAAACTCAATGCACATAAAAGGCCCTAAAATCTGGAATTCATTACCTGTAAATATAAAAGAAACACTACCTGTTTATAAATTCAAGTCTCTTCTCAAAGTTCACTTACTCAAAACCAAATAAATAATAACTGAACCATATAAATTGTATATCCTAAATGTTTCTCACAATTATATCACACAAATGTTAAACCTAACTTTGTTATTTTTTTTAAATACACTACCTGAATGTACAACAATGCATGCAACCATATGACCTGTCTTTGTAATACTCATTTGTGCTTTATAGTTATCTGTTTACAATAATGTTTTATCACTGATTTCATCATTGCTTAGTTAATCTTAAGTTAATTTTAAGCCAGCCCATAATGCTATGCATATAAGTGGCTTTGGCATGCTGCTCTTACCTGTATTTTTTTTGTACCTCTGTATGTATGCTAAAATTTATAAATAAATAAATAAATAAATACCATGAATTAAGTAAAGATCCTGGACTTCACCTTACCAAACAGATAGAGGAAATGCGATAGTAATTATGTACAAGGTAGATTATAGGGGAAAAATAACATATTAGAGAACAGGGAAACTGACTGTCCAGGGAACACGCTGGCTAGGGGCTTGGGGGGGACTCCGCTACATACTGTCCAGGGAACACGCTGGCTAGGGGCTTGGGGGGACTCCGCTACATACTGTCCAGGGAACAGGCTGGCTAGGGGCTTGGGGGGACTCCGCTACATACTGTCCAGGGAACACGCTGGCTAGGGGCTTGGGGGGGACTCCGCTACATACTGTCCAGGGAACACGCTGGCTAGGGGCTTGGGGGGGACTCCGCTACATACTGTCCAGGGAACAGGCTGGCTAGGGGCTTGGGGGGACTCCGCTACATACTGTCCAGGGAACACGCTGGCTAGGGGCTCGGGGGGACTCCGCTACATACTGTCCAGGGAACACGCTGGCTAGGGGCTCGGGGGGACTCCGCTACATACTGTCCAGGGAACACGCTGGCTAGGGGCTTGGGACTGACTCCGCTACATACTGTCCAGGGAACACGCTGGCTAGGGGCTTGGGGGGACTCCGCTACATACTGTCCAGGGAACACGCTGGCTAGGGGCTTGGGGGGACTCCGCTACATACTGTCCAGGGAACACGCTGGCTAGGGGCTCGGGGGGACTCCGCTACATACTGTCCAGGGAACACGCTGGCTAGGGGCTTGGGGGGACTCCGCTACATACTGTCCAGGGAACACGCTGGCTAGGGGCTCGGGGGGACTCCGCTACATACTGTCCAGGGAACACGCTGGCTAGGGGCTTGGGGGGACTCCGCTACATACTGTCCAGGGAACACGCTGGCTAGGGGCTCGGGGGGACTCCGCTACATACTGTCCAGGGAACAGGCTGGCTAGGGGCTCGGGGGGAATCCGCTACATACTGTCCAGGGAACACGCTGGCTAGGGGCTCGGGGGGACTCCGCTACATACTGTCCAGGGAACACGCTGGCTAGGGGCTCGGGGGGACTCCGCTACATACTGTCCAGGGAACACGCTGGCTAGGGGCTCGGGGGGACTCTGCTACATACTGTCCAGGGAACACGCTGGCTAGGGGCTCGGGGGGACTCTGCTACATACTGTCCAGGGAACACGCTGGCTAGGGGCCCGGGGGGACTCTGCTACATACTGTCCAGGGAACACGCTGGCTAGGGGCTCGGGGGGACTCTGCTACATACTGTCCAGGGAAACACGCTGGCTAGGGGCTCGGGGGGGACTCTGCTACATACTGTCCAGGGAACACGCTGGCTAGGGCTCGGGGGGACTCCGCTACATACTGTCCAGGGAACACGCTGGCTAGGGGGGTCGGGGGGACTCCGCTACATACTGTCCAGGGAACACGCTGGCTAGGGCTCGGGGGGGACTCTGCTACATACTGTCCAGGGAACACGCTGGCTAGGGGCTCGGGGGGACTCCGCTACATACTGTCCAGGGAACACGCTGGCTAGGGGCTCGGGGGGACTCCGCTACATACTGTCCAGGGAACACGCTGGCTAGGGGCTCGGGGGGGACTCTGCTACATACTGTCCAGGGAACACGCTGGCTAGGGGCTCGGGGGGAGACTGCTACATACTGTCCAGGGAACACGCTGGCTAGGGGCTCGGGGGGACTCCGCTACATACTGTCCAGGGAACACGCTGGCTAGGGGCTCGGGGGGACTCCGCTACATACTGTCCAGGGAACACGCTGGCTAGGGGCTCGGGGGGACTCCGCTACATACTGTCCACTGAACACGCTGGCTAGGGGCTCGGGGGACTCTGCTACATACTGTCCAGGGAACATGCTGGCTAGGGGCTCGGGGGGACTCCGCTACATACTGTCCAGGGAACACGCTGGCTAGGGGCTCAGGGGGGACTCCGCTACATACTGTCCAGGGAACACGCTGGCTAGGGGCTTGGGGGGACTCCGCTACATACTGTCCAGGGAACATGCTGGCTAGGGGCTCGGGGGGACTCCGCTACATACTGTCCAGGGAACACGCTGGCTATGGGCTCGGGGGGACTCCGCTACATACTGTCCAGGGAACCGCTGGCTAGGGGCTCGGGGGACTCCGCTACATACTGTCCAGGGAACACGCTGGCTAGGGGCTCGGGGGGACTCCGCTACATACTGTCCAGGGAACACGCTGGCTAGGGGCCCGGGGGGACTTCGCTACATACTGTTCAGGGAACACGCTGGCTAGGGGCTCGGGGGACTCCGCTACATACTGTCCAGGGAACACGCTGGCTAGGGGCTCGGGGGGACTCCGCTACATACTGTCCAGGGAACACGCTGGCTAGGGGCTCGGGGGGACTCCGCTACATACTGTTCAGGGAACACGCTGGCTAGGGGCTCGGGGGGACTCTGCTACATACTGTCCAGGGAACACGCTGGCTAGGGGCTCGGGGGGACTCCGCTACATACTGTCCAGGGAACACGCTGGCTAGGGGCTCGGGGGGGACTCCGCACATACTGTCCAGGGAACACGCTGGCTAGGGGCTCGGGGGACTCCGCTACATACTGTCCAGGGAACACGCTGGCTAGGGGCTCGGGGGGACTCCGCTACATACTGTTCAGGGAACACGCTGGCTAGGGGCTCGGGGGACTCCACTACATACTGTCCAGGGAACACGCTGGCTAGGGCTCGGGGGGACTCCGCTACATACTGTCCAGGGAACACGCTGGCTAGGGGCTCGGGGGGACTCCGCTACATACTGTCCAGGGAACACGCTGGCTAGGGGCTCGGGGGGGACTCCGCTACATACTGTCCAGGGAACACGCTGGCTAGGGGCTCGGGGGACTCCGCTACATACTGTCCAGGGAACACGCTGGCTAGGGGCTCGGGGGGACTCCGCTACATACTGTCCAGGGAACACGCTGGCTAGGGGCTTGGGGGGACTCCGCTACATACTGTCCAGGGAACACGCTGGCTAGGGGCTCGGGGGGACTCCGCTACATACTGTCCAGGGAACACGCTGGCTAGGGGCTCGGGGGGACTCCGCTACATACTGTCCAGGGAACACGCTGGCTAGGGGCTCGGGGGGACTCCGCTACATACTGTCCAGGGAACACGCTGGCTAGGGGCTCGGGGGGACTCCGCTACATACTGTCCAGGGAACACGCTGGCTAGGGGCTCGGGGGGACTCTGCTACATACTGTCCAGGGAACACGCTGGCTAGGGGCTCGGGGGGACTCCGCTACATACTGTTCAGGGAACACGCTGGCTAGGGGCTCGGGGGGACTCCGCTACATACTGTCCAGGGAACACGCTGGCTAGGGGCTCGGGGGGACTCCGCTACATACTGTCCAGGGAACACGCTGGCTAGGGGCTCGGGGGACTCCCCTACATACTGTTCAGGGAACACGCTGGCTAGGGGCTCGGGGGGACTCCGCTACATACTGTCCAGGGAACACGCTGGCTAGGGGCTCGGGGGGACTCCGCTACATACTGTTCAGGGAACACGCTGGCTAGGGGCTCGGGGGGACTCCGCTACATACTGTCCAGGGAACACGCTGGCTAGGGGCTCGGGGGGACTCCGCTACATACTGTCCAGGGAACACGCTGGCTAGGGGCTCGGGGGGACTCCGCTACATACTGTTCAGGGAACACGCTGGCTAGGGGCTCGGGGGGACTCCGCTACATACTGTCCAGGGAACACGCTGGCTAGGGGCTCGGGGGGACTCCGCTACATACTGTTCAGGGAACACGCTGGCTAGGGGCTCGGGGGGACTCCGCTACATACTGTCCAGGGAACACGCTGGCTAGGGGCTCGGGGGGACTCCGCTACATACTGTCCAGGGAACACGCTGGCTAGGGGCTCGGGGGGGGGACTGCTAGATATGATGAATGACGTACCAATCAACGGGAGCGTTTGATCGTGACGGACTTTTTCTCTTCTTATTTATCAATTTAATAAAAAGTTAGATATGTATGGGTGGCTGCGTGATCATGGGAAAGGTATCCTCATATCCCATAAACCCAGCCACTTCTACCTCACTGCTCGTAAAAGGAATAGAACAGATTTGAAGCCTTTCCAGAGGGGCATTTGACAGTTATTGAGGGGAAACTAATATAGGAATTTATTAAACAATGAAACAGATTAGCACCTACACTGTATAAACAATTCAAGGTTTATTTCCAATTTTTGAATAATACGTTTTTATTACTTAAAATTTTTTTTCGCAATGTATTTCACAAATATATTTTTCATACTCATGATCTTGTCCTTTGTTATTCGAGTTAATGGTAAATAATGCGAGGAATGAGAGTATACTAACATAGCCTAGTAGAGTGTAGAAGAGTGTGAGCTTGTGGTCACTGGAGATGAGGTCAGCCAGGGTGAGGGTGTATGCTGGAGGCAAGGGTCTGCTGATGACGTGAACCACACCATCACGTGAGTGTACGTCCACACGTACTACACCCACACAGTTCAGCAGCACCATCTGTCTTGTGACAACACCATCTGTGATTCCATCTATAACAACTGTGATGCCGTCTATGACAACACAAGTTTGTAATATGTTATAGATGACACATGTTACACAACGTCTATTGCAAACTTGTCTAATATAAATTGTGAAAATGTGGTTAAAATGTGGAGTTAAGGTGACTCATGAGGAGCGACTTTAAGGCAAAATTCTTGTGTACAGAAGCAACCCGCCCTCCCAAGGCACAACTAATAACACTTTCCTTTAGAGATAAGATAAGATTTCGTTCGGATTTTTAACCCCGGAGGGTTAGCCACCCAGGATAACCCAAGAAAGTCAGTGCGTCATCGAGGACTGTCTGACTTATTTCCATTGGGGTCCTTAATCTTGTCCCCCAGGATGCGACCCACACCAGTCGACTAACATGACTTATTTCCATTGGGGTCCTTAATCTTGTCCCCCAGGATGCGACCCACACCAGTCGACTAACACTCGGGTACCTATTTGCTGCTAGGTGAACAGGACCACAGGTGTAAGGAAACATGTCGAAATGTTTCCACCTGCCGGGAATCGAACCCGGGCCCTCCGTGTGTGAAGCGGGAGCTTTAGCCACCAGGCCACCGGGCCAGGAGGAATGAGGGTCTACGGTCCAGGACGGGCAAGTGTAGGGTAGAGACTAGCATAGATACAAGCACCTTATTCTCCAGTTTGGTGACAGTGATGGGGTGTCCCTGGTAGAGTGTGGGAATGTTCTGGCCATGATGGAGGTGGGTAGTGAGCCAGCGACGTGGCAGCAGGTGGTATAACAGTAGCGGCGGTCCACTCCATCCCTCATCCACTTCCACTGCTCGACCCAATTCTGACCATGTCCGCGAGTCCAGACTCCTGAAACCCTTCCTAAATGCTATTATAAGGAATGTCGAAGGTATTCAAGCATCCTGCCAATGATTGATTCCTTTTTTTATATTTTATTGAGTGCATATCTTATACAGACATAATACATACATATAGTACAAAACTGTTGAGAACAATAAGTACATACATAAAGTATCACACACACACACGTTGTTGGACACAGGAGAAGAAACCCGTCACAGACAAACGAAAAAGAAAGATCACCCAGCACACTATACATCACTCAAGTCACCTATCAGTACATGTAAGAAAAACACGTGAAATTATTATGTCTCACGTCTACATAGGTGTGATTCAAAGTAACCAGTCATTCCTGCCTGTTCCCACCTTCAAGTTGGACTGCTTGCTACACTCCTGACTCTCAGATATGTCCATATATATAGTGTTGCCTATGATCCATAAATGCTCATAGCAGCTACAGCCCACAGGATGGGTATGGTGTGACTACCTCCCACAGGATGGGTATAGTGTGACTACCTCCCACAGGATGGGTATGGTGTGACTACCTCCCACAGGATGGGTATGGTGTGACTACCTCCCACAGGATGGGTATGGTGTGACTACCTCCCACAGGATGAGTATTGTGTGACTACCTCCCACAGGATGGGTATTGCGTGACTACCTCCCACAGGATGGGTATGGTGTGACTACCTCCCACAGGATGGGTATGGTGTGACTACCTCCCACAGGATGGGTATGGTGTGACTACCTCCCACAGGATGGGTATGGTGTGACTACCTCCCACAGGATGGGTATGGTGTGACTACCTCCCACAGGATGGGTATGGTGTGACTACCTCCCACAGATGGTATGGTGTGACTACTCCCACAGGATGGGTATGGTGTGACTACCTCCCACAGGATGGGTATGGTGTGACTACCTCCCACAGGATGGGTATGGTGTGACTACCTCCCACAGGATGGGTATGGTGTGACTACCTCCCACAGGATGGGTATGGTGTGACTACCTCCCACAGGATGGGTATGGTGTGACTACCTCCCACAGGATGGGTATGGTGTGACTACCTCCCACAGGATGGGTATGGTGTGACTACCTCCCACAGGATGGGTATGGTGTGACTACCTCCCACAGGATGGGTATGGTGTGACTACCTCCCACAGGATGGGTATGGTGTGACTACCTCCCACAGGATGGGTATGGTGTGACTACCTCCCACAGGATGGGTATGGTGTGACTACCTCCCACAGGATGGGTATGGTGTGACTACCTCCCACAGGATGGGTATGGTGTGACTACCTCCCACAGGATGGGTATGGTGTGACTACCTCCCACAGGATGGGTATGGTGTGACTACCTCCCACAGGATGGGTATGGTGTGACTACCTCCCACAGGATGGGTATGGTGTGACTACCTCCCACAGGATGGGTATGGTGTGACTACCTCCCACAGGATGGGTATAAAGTGCATAATAAAGATGTTAAACTAACGCCCTGAGTGAGAATTGCGACGTATCAAAATCCAGAAACAGATATATGGAAGAAATGTACACAATGAAGTGAAGTACTCGTTTCGTGGCGTCTCATAACATTAGTAAGTTGGCACAGACGTGTATCTTCACTGAGGGAGTCGATTACAACTCTGGGTTGGCAGCTGTAGCAGTTCGAGGAAATAATACAATAATACAAGAACTTCAAGTGAACTTAATAAACTTCAGAGTTATGCAAGAGGAAGAACATGTGTACAACACATCCAGGAAAATCAGCAGACTCTTGGATGTTACTCTTGTCCCGCTTCGACTGAGTAACAATTATAACCTCCGGTTCACGAAGAATAACCATAGAGGGATTATTGTCACACCTGTGCCATTACGCGCTGGACCACGAAAAAATTCATGAATTCAGAGACGACTCGTCAGTCATATTCAAAATATAAATATTTGATCTACAGTGGCATATTACCAGCCACTGTGGGGAAAAACAGATTTAAACTATTGTAAATAACCGTTATCAGTGTATTAAATTCATGGCTGTAAAATCGTTAGTATTATTCTAAATTCGATAAAATTTGTAAATACGTAGATCATTACGTCTTATACCTTGCTTGGCACACGCGTGTTGGGGTCCAGTCCCTGGACCCATTACACTGGTCTGTAGCAAAAAATGCTTTTTCTTTACTAATTATGGGTCACTGAATACAGAAATGCGTTGGCCGGCTGCTGCTACCTGTGACCCGGGAAGGACAGAGGCCAGATAAACTACACACGGAAAACACTCTCGATTCAAACCAACGGTTCGTAATTGTTTAAATCATATAAACACTATCGTATAGCTACAATGCGTAATTTATATTATTATTATTATTATTATTATTATAATCATGGGAAGTGCTAAACCCGTAGGATTATACAGCAAAGCCACTCGCTTACAGCACCTCAAAAACCTTAGTGAAAAATCTTTCTCCTCCGAAGCACATAATTGTTGAAAATTTGTAGATCAATGTTGTGTGTTTGTAATCCTTAGATGAGAGACCACAAGATGGGTATGGGAAACATACCAGAGATATCAGAGTAAACTGTCTATCGTACCTAGTCTTAAGGTTATGTATAGATCCTGCCTCTGCGACATTATTGTACAAGTAGTTTGCCTTCCTCACCACTCTGAAGCTGAAGGTTCGAAGTGTGTGTGTGTGTGTGTGTGTGTGTGTGTGTGTGTGTGTGTGTGTGTGTGTGTGCACTAGCAGACCTACCTGATCAAGGGGCAGCAGGAGAGTATGGGCGGGCGTGCGGGCGTTCAGCAGGCGGTGAAGGCGGTACCGCTGCAGAAGGTGATGGAAGCGGCTACAGTCTGGCATGTGTCCTGCGGTCGTCAGTATCTCCTCCACCTGCTTCTCTGACACCAGCACAGACGTAAACAACAATAAAACAACCACAGACAAAACTTAACCTCTCAATATAAGATAAAGTGAGAATTTCATATTATGAAAATAAAGGAATTGTGTGTAGTGTGGATCCAGGACTGTACCTCCAGTTGTACGTTCAGAAGTGTGTAGTACCTCCAGTTGTACGTTCAGAAGTGTGTAGTACCTCCAGTTGTATGTTCAGAAGTGTGTAGTACCTCCAGTTGTATGTTCAGAAGTGTGTAGTACCTCCAGTTGTATGTTCAGAAGTGTGTAGTACCTCCAGTTGTACGTTCAGAAGTGTGTAGTACCTCCAGTTGTACGTTCAGAACTGTGTAGTACCTCCAGTTGTATGTTCAGAACTGTGTAGCACCTCCAGTTGTATGTTCAGAACTGTGTAGCACCTCCAGTTGTATGTTCAGAACTGTGTAGCGCCTCCAGTTGTATGTTCAGAACTGTGTAGCGCCTCCAGTTGTATGTTCAGAACTGTGTAGCACCTCCAGTTGTATGTACAGAACTGTGTAGCACCTCCAGTTGTATGTTCAGAACTGTGTAGCACCTCCAGTTGTATGTTCAGAACTGTGTAGCGCCTCCAGTTGTATGTTCAGAACTGTGTAGCACCTCCAGTTGTATGTTCAGAACTGTGTAGCACCTCCAGTTGTATGTACAGAACTGTGTATCACCTCCAGTTGTATGTACAGAACTGTGTAGCACCTCCAGTTGTATGTTCAGAACTGTGTATCACCTCCAGTTGTATGTACAGAACTGTATAGCGCCTCCAGTTGTATATTCAGAACTGTGTATCACCTCCAGTTGTATGTACAGAACTGTGTAGCACCTCCAGTTGTATGTTCAGAACTGTGTATCACCTCCAGTTGTATGTACAGAACTGTATAGCGCCTCCAGTTGCATGTTCAGAACTGTGTAGCACCTCCAGTTGTATGTTCAGAACTGTGTAGTGCCTCCAGTTGTATGTTCAGAACTGTGTATCACCTCCAGTTGCATGTTCAGAACTGTGTAGCACCTCCAGTTGTATGTTCAGAACTGTGTAGTGCCTCCAGTTGTATGTTCAGAACTGTGTATCACCTCCAGTTGCATGTTCAGAACTGTGTAGCGCCTCCAGTTGTATGTTCAGAACTGTGTAGCACCTCCAGTTGTATGTTCAGAACTGTGTAGCACCTCCAGTTGTATGTTCAGAACTGTGTAGCGCCTCCAGTTGTATGTTCAGAACTGTGTAGCGCCTCCAGTTGTATGTTCAGAACTGTGTAGCGCCTCCAGTTGTATGTTCAGAACTGTGTATCACCTCCAGTTGTATGTTCAGAACTGTGTAGCGCCTCCAGTTGTATGTTCAGAACTGTGTAGCACCTCCAGTTGTATGTTCAGAACTGTGTAGCACCTCCAGTTGTATGTTCAGAACTGTGTAGCACCTCCAGTTGTATGTTCAGAACTGTGTAGCGCCTCCAGTTGTATGTTCAGAACTGTGTAGCACCTCCAGTTGTATGTTCAGAACTGTGTATCACCTCCAGTTGCATGTTCAGAACTGTGTAGCGCCTCCAGTTGTATGTTCAGAACTGTGTAGCACCTCCAGTTGTATGTTCAGAACTGTGTAGCACCTCCAGTTGTATGTTCAGAACTGTGTAGCACCTCCAGTTGTATGTTCAGAACTGTGTAGCACCTCCAGTTGTATTTCAGAACTGTGTAGCGCCTTCAGTTGTATGTTCAGAACTGTGTAGCACCTCCAGTTGTATGTTCAGAACTGTGTAGCGCCTCCAGTTGTATGTTCAGAACTGTGTAGCACCTCCAGTTGTATGTTCAGAACTGTGTAGCACCTCCAGTTGTATGTTCAGAACTGTGTAGCGCCTTCAGTTGTATGTTCAGAACTGTGTAGCACCTCCAGTTGTATGTTCAGAACTGTGTAGCACCTCCAGTTGTATGTTCAGAACTGTGTAGCGCCTCCAGTTGTATGTTCAGAACTGTGTAGCACCTCCAGTTGTATGTTCAGAACTGTGTAGCGCCTCCAGTTGTATGTTCAGAACTGTGTAGCACCTCCAGTTGTATGTTCAGAACTGTGTAGCACCTCCAGTTGTATGTTCAGAACTGTGTAGCGCCTCCAGTTGTATGTTCAGAACTGTGTAGCACCTCCAGTTGTATGTTCAGAACTGTGTAGCGCCTCCAGTTGTATGTTCAGAACTGTGTAGCGCCTCCAGTTGCACTCTTAGCAGTGGCATCACTCACAATCCAAGCACTCTGCTTCAGTCATCTTCAAGCACTCTAGTATTAGCAGGGTCTCATTGCCTTGCTGTCTCTATTCATCTAGCACTAAATAGATAGTTGGGCGTTAGACTTGTGGGTCGCGTTCTAAGGGAAGGATGAGTGGGGGTGATGGAGGGTTATATCTCAGAGGAGCTTGGCTTTGAAATAAGCAGATTTACAATAACAGTTTTCAGTTTTTACCTTTAACGATATAAAAAAAGTAATGACTTTCCGAGACATTAATTTATTTGAGGGGATTTCCAGGTTAAAAAAATTATTGTACTGAAAAAATTGAATGGGCACTATCCTGGCTGTAAAATGCATCAGCTATTAAATACTGAAGCAGTTTAGAAGAGACAGACGCAGGTGGTCGTGAAGAATAAAAGAGAATCAAAACTTTACACACAAAAGGATCAAATCTGCACCATCTACACCCTTGAATTTCACTCAAATTAGGAAGCACGTTCAAGCGTTTGAAGCTACGCCACTGAGGGCTCTGCAAGTTATCCCAACCATTCCAGGATGCTGGGAATGGGTTGTATAACTGCTCATAGGACACTTGCACATTCTTAGAAGATTGTTCTCGTTACCGTACACAAGTGTTCAAAATTTAAATCCGATCGGGAGGGTCTTGAATGACGAGTGAAATAGACAAGTAGGAGGTAAAAGAAAATTTAGGCGACCACTTCAAGGTTCTCATGAGAGATACTCAACATGACGTTGTAATCTCAAATTACCAAGCAGAGCAGAAAGAATAAAAATATATATTCACAATAATGAGTGACAGCTGGAACGATGTCAGCGAGGAAGTAAGATGTAACAAATAATATTAAAACTTTCACAACTTGTTCATAATCTGATTATAGAACATGACACACACACACACACACACACACACACACACACACACACACACACACAACACACACACACACACACACACACACACACACACACAACACACCTAGTAGCAATCAGCGAAGAGGCGGGGCCAGGAGCTATGATTCGACCCCTGCAACCACAAATAGGTGAGCACACACACACACACACACACACACACCACACACCACACACACACACACACACACACACACACACATACACACACACACACACAGGGAGATTACATGAGGTATGGAAGACAGCAAATGTAGTCCCAATTTTTAAAAAAGGGGAGAGACAAGAAGCATTAAACTATAGACCGGTGTCACTGACTATATAGTATGCAAAGCCATGGAGAAGATTATCAGGAGAAGAGTGGTGGAACACCTGGAAAGAAATGAGTTTATCAACAACAGCCAACACGGTTTCAGGGACGGGAAATCCTGTGTCACAAACCTTACCTGGAGTTTACCTGGAGAGGGTTTCGGGGGGTCAACGCTCCCGCGGCCCGGTCTGAGACCAGGCCTCATGGTGGATCAGGGTCTGATCAACTAGGCTGTTACTGCTGGCCTTCTGGAGTTCGATGACATGGTGACATCAGTAAAACTAGAGAGAGAGGGTTGGTTAGATTGCATTTTCTTGGACTGCAAGAAGGCGTTTGACACAGTTCCACACAAGAGATCAGTGCAAAAACTGGAGGACCAGGCAGGGACAACAGGGAAGGCACTACAATGGATCAGGGAATACTTGTCAGGAAGACAGCAGCGAGTCATGGTATGCGTCGAGGTATTAGAGTGGGCACCTGTGACGAGTGGGGTTACACAGGGGGTCAGTCCTAGGACCAGTGCTGTTTCTGGTATTTGTGAACGACGTGACGGAAGGAATTGACTTCGAAGTATCTGTGCAGATGATGTGAAGTTGATGAGAAGAATTCAATTGGACGAGGACCAGGAAGAACTACAAAGGGATCCGGACAGGCTGCAGACCTGGTCCAGCAATTGGCTCCTGGAGTTCAACCCCACTAAGTGCAAGGTCATGAAGATTGGGGAAGGGCAAAGAAGACCGCAGACGGAGTACAGTCTAGACTACAAACCTCACTCAAGGAAAAAGATCTTGGGGTGAGTATAACACCAGGCACATCTCCTGAGGCGCACATCAACCTAATAACTGCTACAGCATATGGGCGCCTAGCAAACCTAAGAACAGCATTCCTCCATCTTAATAAGGAATCGTTCAGGACCCTGTACACTGTGTATGTTAGGCCCATATTGGAGTATGCGGCACCAGTTTGGAACCCACACCTAGCCAAGCATGTAAAGAAACTAGAGAAAGTGCAAAGATTTGCAACAAGACTAGTCCCAGAGCTAAGGGGTGTGTCCTACGAAGAGAGGTTAAGGGAAATCAACCTGACGACACTGGAGGACAGAAGAGATAGGGAGGACATGATAACAACATATAAAATACTGAGAGGAATTGACCGGTGGCAGAGACAGAATTTCCAGAGATGGGAACGCAACAAGGGGACCATTGGAAAACTGAAGACACAGAGAATCACAGGGAGTTGGGAAAGTTTTTCTTCAGTCAAGAGTAGTCAGGAAGTGGAATTTTTGGGAAACCCGATGAGTGGAGGCAGGATCCTTTCATATCTTTAAGCGGGGTTTATGATAAAGCTCATGGTGGGGGGGAAAAATGCCCCCAGTAGTAGGGTAGTGTAGGGGGGGGCCCAGGACTATACTCGACCCCTGAAACAAAAACTGGGTGATGTACACACATTCTCTCTCTCTCTCTCATAAACACTGAGGTCCCCCACCCACAGGAACCTTTGCTGGCGGGCAGCCGGTTAACCTTCACGCACTGCTGAGGAGGTACCTGCCACAAGAGACACCCCCAATTGTTATTTACAACTCCACACGGATCATTATAAAGATCAACGTCAGGAAATTTTTGTGTTTTGTTTACAACTGCTCTAGTCACTGTACTGTGACTTACAGTTAGTTCATTACTGTAATAAAGTGTAGGTCTCGTTCAGCAGTTAAAGTGCTTTTTATTGCCATTAACAAACCACTGGGGGCTACCCGGTTGTACTTAAATTATGCGGGTTACAGCGAACATTTAAACCCTAACATCGGGCGGGATTTAAAAACCTTTTATGTTCCGTCCGCAAGATGGTTCCCCTGTCATACCCATCACTAATGACATTCCCACACCCCCCCTTGATAATAATAATAATATAATAATTCCCACCACATTACACAAAATCTTACAC